AAGAAGCGCCAGGAGGAGGGGGGGGGGGAGGGGAGGGAGGGACATGATTGGGGAAGGAAGCAGGGGAAAGAGCCAGGGTGGTGGGAGTGGGGAGAAGGAGAACAAGGAGAGTAGGGAGTAGGGAATAGGTGGGTGTGAGTTAGCTTGAGGAGGGAGGCTCACCTTTCTGGGGGGGGCAGTGAAGGAGGGAGAGGACCATGAGAGAGGAGGCTGCACAAAGGGGGCCAGAGAGAGCTCTCCCCAGCAGAGGTGTGGCTGAGGAGTGTGTGTGGAGGGACGGGGTCTTGTTTTGGCAGGAGGCTGTGTAACACCAAGGCCAGGTCTAGACTACAGACCTATATCGGTATAACAACATCGCTCAGGGGTGTGAAAAATCCACCTGGATTTCTCCCACCTGGTCCCCATCCATTTTGTTTTCCTGTTGTTGTATCTATGAGAAGTTGTACAGATGTGTCAGTGAATCAAGGTGTTTCATGGTTACCTCTGTTTATTGTTTCAATCAATTTGTCTGTACTGAAGGACGGTTCACTGGTCTGCATTTCCCGAGACCAGCCCCAGAGGCTTTTTAAACAACCGTTACAATATTTGCTTCCCCGGTATGGTATTTGGTTTTTGAGACACCTCAATTTTCTTAGCAGCTCAGCCACTTCATTCTTAAAGTCCTTGGAATCTCTTGGAGGTAAGCCAGCTGGTCTTGGTGGCACTTAAACGTATCCATTTATTCCAGGACCTTTTTTTTTGTTAATTCTATCTCTGACTATGCCTTGTGATCACTACCTGAAAATGTATAGCAGAGGTAGACATCTCCCCAAAGGTTCTCTGTTGTAGTGAGGACTGATATAAAGAAACCATTTCACTTCTTTTAATGTCCTTATCCCCCTTGATTGTTCCCTTTCTTCCCTGGTAGTTCTGTGGGCCAACCAATTCTCCCAGACATCCTGCTTCTGATATACTGAAATAATGTGTTTGTTTTCATGTCTTTGGATATAAGTTCTTTACATTTCCTCTCGCCTCTCCTAATTTCCATGTTATAGTTTACCTCTTTACCTTCTTTCTACTAGCATCACTTGGGCTGGATTTTCATTTTATTTTTTACAGATACCTGTACAACCAGGATGCTACTTAAGCAACCCTACCCTATCCTCACTTCTGACTATAGTGCCTTTTTGACTGCCTTGTTCATTTTAAAAATCCCCCTTGGAAAGTGCTAGTTTTTGGTTTGATTCCTTCCCTTCAGCAGTTGAACTTATTTATATGGTGGTGACACTTAGTGTCTGAACTATACTTACTTTTTGAATGAAGTCCTACGTGGTATTAGGACTAAGCTGAGTGCAGACTCTCTTTTTATGTGTTGGAGAAATAGTTTCTTCAAGAAGAAATTGTGTAAAGAGTTGAGAAAAGGCTTCTTACTATATATCCCTGAAGTTACGTCCAGGCTTGTTGTAAGTCATCTGATAAGAGAGCTCTGGGCACTGGGACTCGGGAGCAAAGTCTGGCTATGCAGTAGAGGCAAATGTTGATCGAGGATGGAAGTGAAAGGGGCCAAGATTTTCCAAAGTGACTAGTGCTTGTGAGCGACATAATGTGTAGGTGTCCATTTTGACAAGAGGCCTGATTTTCAGAAAGTGCTAAGTAGCCACCCTCTGAAAATCAGGTCCTTTTAAGGTATCTCAAGTTGAACACCCAAAAGCTGAGCTGCCCAAAATCACTAGTCATTTACCGAAATCTTGACTAGAGCATTTGTGGCCAGAAAGAGAAAACTTAGCAAGGAGCTGTTGGAGACACAAGGTGCACTTAACAGTAGCAGTGGGTTTCTATACACATACTGAGATCTTTAACAGGGGCTTTCCCCCTCAGCACATAATGCTCCATGATGATTGTGTGGAATTATCCCCTCCCCATTACTGTAGTTCAGTCCAATAGTAAATGCTACTGACTGTACTCCAGGAGGTCGCATCCAAAAGACAAAAGCATCTATAAGTAGAAAAATACTGGAAACTTGTCAATGGGAGGTGCAGGGTGAGAGGAAGCCCTGGCCCTCCCAAACTGCATCACTTACTTTGGACATCAGGATAGCGAAGCATGTACAGCAGTGCCCAGCACAGGGTTACAGTGGTTGTTTCAGTGGCAGCACCAAACAGGTCAAAAACTGTAAAGATCAGATTGTCCTCATTGAAAGTGCTCTCTGGATCCATTTTAGCCTGAAGGAAATAAAAATAGGCTTGTCATATAACTTGGGTTTGTTGTTTTTTATTTAATTCACCCTATTACCTAGGAGCATACATTTGGGTGTATAACACATTTTCCAGACATAAGGGTCTGAGTCCCTATTGCCCCACACCTGGTGTGATCATTGACACCCGTGCAGAGTGGAGGATGATGCCTGATCAGAATGGTAGCATTTTACACTTCCTTTGAACTGGTGCATATGTTTATACAGGGTATAGGGCAGTGGGGAGACGGGCCCACAATACTTAAAATCTTCTTAGTAGGGATTAGAATTCAAAATATGAACGAGTTACAAAATTCTTCCTTGACTGAGAAGAGCTAAACAAACTGGAAATGCATACATTGATCAAAGGTAGAATCATTAAGGCTTCATGAAGTATGGGAATGAAATTTGAAATATTTTTGCATTACTTTCAAGGCTCATAATTTTAGATTTCATAGAAGCACAAAATAAGGTTTAAAAAGACTGTATTATGGGGCTATTTCAGTGAAGTAAGTATCCCAGACACATGGTAATAATAATAATAATAATAATTAATGGAGATATCCCATCTCCTAGAACTGGAAGGGACCTTGAAAGGTCATCAAGTCCAGCCCCCTGCCTTCACTAGCAGGACCAAGTACTGATTTTGCCCCTAGATCCCCAAGTGGCCCCCTCAAGGATTGAGCTCACAATCCTGGGTTTAGCAGGCCAATGCTCAAACCACTGAGCTATCCCTCCCCCCCAGACAGAGCCAGTCCTTTTAAGGTTTTACAATCTAAGCAAGAGCTACAGAATAGACAGGATGCAATGGGAAGTCCAAAGGAAATTATAAGGATATTTTTAATAGCTTAAAATCATTGACTTACTTCTTGTGGACAAGAAGAAAACAGTGGCTCTTTAGAAGGGATTTGGATGAAGAGAAGGCAATGGCTTAGTGGACCAGAATTTGGAGGGTGTTTCAGTGGTCTGAGGTGGCATGAAAGAAGACAGAGAAAACTGTGGGGGAATTATATGAGCATGGCATTGAGACAGCCATCATTGGAAGACCACAGGTTATGGGGGTGATGCATTAAGATACTATGTCCAAGATATAATGTGGGTTGTGTAAGACTTTCAAGGCAAGGACAAGAGATTTAAATGTGATGTGGTAAACAAGGAGGAACCTGTAGAGTGGAGGAAGAAGCAGCAAGATTTGAAATTGGATGTGTGCATGAGGAGAAGGAGAGGAAGGGTTCATAGATAACCCTCACTTTATGATCCTGGATGAGCAGGAAGATGGGAGCGGGGTTTGGGGAAAAAAGTAAGAATCTCATTTTTAGCTATGTTAAACTTACATTGCAGACAAGTCACCTAGGAAGAAATGTCAGAAAGACTGAAGTATAGGACTCCTTAGCGAGAGATGGGTCAGGAGAGCTGAGATAGGTTTGCTGATTGTCAGCCTTGAGATGAAAGTTCCAACTGTGAAAGCAGATAAAGTTCCTCAGAGTTACACTGTAGAGGGAGTGAGCAAAGGCAGAGGTTTTATGACTTCCACAGACAATGGAAGAGCAGAAGAGAATCCACCACAGGGAATGCTGAAGGAATAGTTGGGGAGAAACCAATAGGAGGAAAACCAAGAAAAAACAGTACAATAGAAACCAAAGGAGGACAGTGTGACGTTATCTGATTAAAATATGACCATATAGATCATTGTTGCAACCACTGTTATATATTTGCAGCAAATCTTGTAAAAAGGTTGTCAAGTGAGGTGTCTATGAAAAGGTTATGGTTTGCTGGTTATGATTTTGCTATCTGCATGCATGTATGTATCATTTTTGTATTTGAAGTTATAAGTTTGGCGCTATACCTGGATTTCAAATCTGTGCTCTTACGGTACCGCCCACAAGGTAGCTAGCCAGCATATCTTGGAGGGACTATTCAAATGGAGTGGCCCATCAAAAGAACATTTAACTGACAATGGCAGAGGTCCATCTACACTTAATGGAATTTCCTGCTGTGACTAGGCGAAGTACATGGACATGTGACTTGCCTATGTGACTCCAAACTCCATCTTGTTGCTGTAATTCTCCACAGTAAGAGCAATGGAATTCCCTTCACATGGTAGAAGAGATAAAACGCCTGGAAACTCCTACATTTTGCCTCTATCCGGCTCCAGACTCTATCCTGCTCCAGCCTCTTTCCTGCCCAAACTTCTGGAATATGGACTATACTAATGGGAGCATTCTAACCAATGGACTGAGGACCTTCCGATAATTTGTAGGCAGCCAAAGACTTGACGTAAGTCAGCAGTTTATTCCATCATTGCTACAAGCCTGAACCAATAACTTTGCAATTATTGTATGTATTTGATTCCTTTAACCAATTTTAATTCTCCCTTTCTTTCTTTTTATAAATAAACCTTTAGATTTTAGATACTAAAGGACTGGCATCAGTGTGATTTTTGGGTAAAATCTGAGTTATATATTAACCTGGGTGTGTGGCTGGTCCTTTGGGATCAGAAATGGAGATATCCCATCTCCTAGAACTGGAAGGGACCTTGAAAGGTCATCAAGGCCAGCCCCCTGCCTTCACTAGCAGGACCAAGTACTGATTTTGCCCCAGATCCCTAACTGGCTCCCTCAAGGATTGAACTCACAACCCTGGGTTTAGCAGGCCACTGCTCAAACCACTGAGCTATCCCTCCTCCCTTTAATTTAAAAGAACCTTTTAATTAATGAGACTGGTTGTAAAGAACCACTCACCTTTAAATCCAGTGTTTTGGTGGTCACAAAAGAACTGGAATGCCCAAGGAAGTCGCTTTTATGACTTCCTGTTAGCCAGGGTGGTAAAACAGAAGTTTACTTTTGTTGCTGGTTTGGTATATCTCATGGGAGAATAACCACCAGTTTTGGGTTATGTTTGTCCTGGTTCTCAGCAGTTTGTCCTGAGTTTGGCATTCTCAGTTGTGGCCCACTGAGGCACGGTTACAGACAGAAATGTCATTCAGTGAAAGCAGCAGAGAAGTCAAAGAAAATAAGAATGAGTTTATAAGCCATGAGACCCAGCCAAGGGAAGGCTACTGGCAACTCTTCAATATCAGTACATGTCCTATAATTAGTGATGTGGGATTTTTGTCCCTTTTCATAGTGTCATTGGTGTTTACTTAGCAACAGTGCCACTGTTGGACTTGGTCATATCACTGGGCATCACAACTTCACTCTCACCTTCCTGCCACGTCTCTCTCTGCAGTTGGGTAAGGAATGCATGCTGACAGGAAAACCCCCCAAGGACCGATGAGAGTTTAAAACTTCACTAGTATTGGTAGGGCTGCTTTGCCACACATAGGCAAGTAAATAATGGGAAAGGGATTGCACAGAATAAAGCAAATTATACTCTAAAGTCTGCGGGGCCAGGACGGTGTCTACTTGCATATTAGTACAGCACTCAGCAGAGTGGGGCCTTGATCCTGACTTGGATCTTAGGAGGCTACCTCAGTGTGAATAATTACCTGGAACTGCATTTTGATTGGCATTTTCTCATACATGCCATATACCACTCCGCTGAGAGTGAAGTGTTATTGGAACAGAGATAAATAAGAGGCAGGGAAGACAAGGTGAATTGTTAAATAACCAAGCACCGCATCTGTGAGCTGAGGTTACACTTAAATCAAGGCCTCCTTAGACACCCTGAGCTTTTCTTTTCCATGTGTCCTTGAGTGTAAGGGGGCAGGTGTACGAGGATCTCAATATCTAATTCCACTCACCTAGTGCTGCTGCATGTGTGTGCCCGCATGCTGTCCCTACTTGCACTGGAGAGCAACAGCCTTGTGCTCTCTGCTGCATGCACTCGGGTGAAAGGACCTGCAGGATCCAGGTCTCAGCGTAACTGATGGGTTGTTCCATCACAAGCACACATATCCAAACAGCAAAATATGACCCCACAAGTATCCATGTCTGTCTCCTCCTACCTTTTCTATCTCCTCCAGAAAAGCATCAATGAAGTCTCTGGTAAAGCCTGGATCCCGAGTCTCCTTGTGCTCCTTCACAATCTCCCTTAGGATGTCAAAGCTATCAGTATAGGGTTGGAAGATGTTATGATGAGGCCCAGGAATATACAATAACCAAGGCATCATGTCCAGAATCTAGGATGGAAGAGACAGGAGAGGAAAAGCATTAGATCAGGAAGCCAGTTCTCAGATATTCGGTGGGGGAAGAGATGGAACTGGGATGGAATGTTCCCAACAGGCCAGATCCCCCACTTCACATTGGGTAAACATTTTGAGGCTCCCTACCTTGTTCCCTCCACCGTGCAACACAATGTGTTGTGACCAACACTGTCTGCATGTAAGTTAACCATCTGACTAACCACCCCTGGAAGTAAACACCCTCCTCAATTCTGTTATGGAGCTATTACCTAGCCTCCTATCGGCGTGACAGTAGCAACAGGAGAACAGTGAAAGGGTGGGGGGCTGGGAAAAGATTAGTGTTGAGACTTTTCTTATTGTTTCAGGGCTCTGGGGAGATTTTAAATGTTACAAATACTGGCCCTGATGCTGCAGTCGTTACTCAGGATAAATGTCACTGACCCTTATGGGCTGGGCTCATATACTTTTTTTTCCTGATCTATCTATTGAGTGTGATGGCCAAGGGCCTGTAAGGGCGGAGTTTCCTTGAAGAGCTGGTTTTCTGGAGGAGAGGAAAGTCTCTCACTCGCCATTCCCTGATCTTGGTTGTACTAATGGGATAGTTAATTCTTTTGTAAGAATGTGTGTGTCATATAGAAGATAGTAGTAAGATGCAGTCTGACAGCTTCTTGCAAAAATCACATAGAGCAAAGGGACTTGTGCTCCCAGCTGGGAGAAGGTGGGAGGTTCTGGATGCCTTCCTTTCCTAAAGATATTCACAGAGTTCTCTTACTGTATTGAAAACCATTAAAGTCTGGGGTTGGCTTTGTTGTTATTGTTGTTTTTTAAGTCTTAGATGTTCTGTTCAGAAAAACACTTACAAATTAGGAAACATCTCTAAACTATCCCAGTCCATCAGTTCATCAAAACTGGGCTGGAAATCTCCCAATAACAAGCCTTCCTTAGAAAAATTTCCTGTACATGTTTCTTGTTTACCAAGAAATACTAAGGCTATGTCTACACTATGCAGCTTTGAGTGACACGGCTGTGCCGCTACAGCTGAGCTGCTAAAAGGCACTCAGTGTAGCCACTGTTTGTCGGCGGAAGAGAGATCTCCTGACGACAAAAAGCTTCCATCCCCAAAGAACGGCATTAGTGTTGTCGGCAGGAGAGTGCTGCTGCCGACAAAGCGCTGTTCACACTAGTGCTTGTCGTTGACAAAACTTTTGTCTTTTGCGGGGGTGTTTTGTTAACACCTCTGAATGACAAAAGTTTTGTCTTTCACTTGCCAGTGCAGACAAAGCCTAAGAGACCAGGCTATCTCCAGGCATTTCGGCAGTCCCACTTCCTGCCTCAGCTGCCTCTAGAAAATGCAGAGGAACACAAGATTTGAGCATTGGCCTGCTAAACCCAGGGTTGTGAGTTCAATCCTTGAGGGGGCCACTTAGGAATCTAGGGCAAAATCTGTACTTGGTCCTGCTAGTGAAGGCAGGGGGCTGGACTCGATGACCTTTCAAGGTCCCTTCCAGTTCTAGGAGATAGGATATCTCCATTAATTTATTTAATTTAATTTATTTAAGAGAAATAGCCATGCGCAAACCCTAGCCAGGTTTCAGGAGATTTCTGTATTATCCAAACTGGTTCATAATCCTTGCATCAAAAGCACCATGGCACCTTTGTCTAAAACACTGTACGGAGCGTGAGCTCTTCATCCCCCTCGGACCCATCCAGGCAACCAAGAGGTTTCAGTTTTACTGACAATCAGATTCTTGTGGGCTACCTGGGACATGATTCCAGCTCCTATATTGAAAGCCTCCTCTATCAGGTGTAGCATCCTCTGGAATTTCTCATTGTTGTACTCAAAGCGGTTGCCAAAAGTGAGGGAGCACATCACATTGCCGACGGCACTGTTTATGAGGAAGCGTGGATTGAAAGGATGGCCTGAAAAAGATACAGGAACCAACCCAAGAGATTAGGAAGCACCCCAGGATCTCAGCCTGCTGCTACATGGGGAGACCCTCTAACACCACCGGAAGTGGGAAATACACTGCATCTATTTAGCTGAATCCCCTCCACAATGGCTGGATCATCTCCACATGCAAACCTCTCCTCCTCCTCCTCCTCCTCTAGAATTGCTCTTCCTTCTAGCTCCATGTACCCTACTCTGAGAGCCCCCCCTCCCTGCTTTATGACTAGAGATATGAGAGTTTCCAATCTCCCAAACATACCATCTTTAGAACTGAACGCAGAGCATAGACATCCAGCTTCCTCAGTCACACGCTGGTCCAGGGATTTCTTCCCAAGCCCAAAATTCCTCAAGGTGGAGAGTGTGAATCTCCTCAGCTCCTTCCAGCCATGGCCATACCTTGCCATCATTATCCCTGCAGGGTTTTGAAGAAATACTAGTCAAATAGCCACCTGTTCTCCTCCCCCATCCCCCCTGCTGTAATACATGGAAAAGGGTTGGTTTTGTTGCATTGATTTATTCTTTTTAGTTAATTTATTTCCCCGTTAACTGTGCCACTGTACACATGGTTCACGAAGGTGATACTTGTGGGGAGAAATGGGCTTGGGTCCCTTGGGAAGCTGTGTGAGCTAGAGCAACAGTTCCCAACACTACTCCACGGGCCAGACCTGGTACTTCCGTTTTTTGTGACTCTAGGGGCTCTCTGTGAAACAGGTTTTCAAATAAAGTTTATAATGCCAGCTGGCCTTTGAGTCTCTTGCTGGTGGCATCCATTTTGCTGAAAGGCAATGTTGTGACACCAGCAGCCTGGGGCAGCTGGAGAGAAGCCCGGTCTCAGGCTGTAAACCAGTTTCTACTCACCTGTAACAACCAGATTAGCAATCAGTCCATCCTGCAGAGGGCAATGGTGTCTGTATGTGCACACTGTGTGTGCGCATGTATATACACCCACAGTCCATCATAATGTACAGGACCCATAATGTACCCTGAAGGCAGAGCCATGTTGTTTGTGCTCCCCAAGAACTCATGTGCATGGGGGAGATGAGAAATTTGCCCTGGACTATGAGGGACACTTGCCTTCACAGTTTTTTCTATAGCCCATATGGTCAAATAAAGAAAAGGATGGTCGATCAGCAAAGTCTTCTGATCTCTGGACCAATGCTTCCTTTACAGCTTCTAACCCATTCAGCAGGACCACATTTTTCCATCCAACCTGAAGAGAGAAGATCTTTCCAAACTTCTCACTGAGCTGTCAAGTAAAAGGGAAATGAGAAAAAAAGAAAAACAGGTTTAAAGAGAAAAAACAGCTACAAAGGCTGTAGCTTAAAATGAGAGACACTATAGCATAGTCGGTGGAAGGCAGAGAGCACAGGGGCTTTGACTGCAGAGTGCTTAATCCCTGCAAGGCTGTAGACTCAAGAGGGACTATGCTCAAACCCGGTAGGAGGGATCTAGCTCAATACCACGTTTTCATATTGTGACGTGCGGATTTGGGTGGGAAGGCAATCAGCGTCCCTCTCCCCTGCCACCTTAATTTCCCAACTGCTATTTGTCCGTAAAGAACATTGTTGGGTTTCAAAGTACTGTCTCACTGCACCAATACTCAGCTGTCCATTCGTGCTGGTCAAAACTCAATTTCCAGTCAGCGGGAAATTTTGACATTTTGATATTTGTTTCCAGTTAGAATCAGAATGAAAACAAATTTCCCAGACATTGAAATTTCCAAAAAAGTTCTGTTTTGGAAAGTTTTTGTTTTAAATGTCATTTTGAAATCTGGAAGTTTGGATTCTAATGCTGTTTTGTTACGTGGGGCTTTTTTATTTGTATAGTATTACATTTTATCCATAACAACATGTCAGTGGTAATAGTGCTCTGAATAGTACTGCTACTGATGTGTTATGAAATAATATAAAAATAATTAAAAATGAAGAACTCCGAAACAAACATTTTCCAAAGTGAACAAATTTTCCTTTCAAAAGGCCACCCCCGGGGATTAGCCATCAAAACCAGCATTTGTCTAAAAACTGGTTCAGTGAAAACATTCCCACCAGCTCTACTGTACAGCTGTGTATGGGAACCATTGCTAAAGTGATGTAATTCTCCAATTTACACACACCTCTTGGGAGGGTGTGTCCAAGTCCTAGTTTAAGGGTCCAAATGAAGAACAAAGCACTTACATAGCTGCTTTCTCAACCATGAGAGTAGTGTAAACTAGTGTCAATGCTTTCTTTATATTAACAAACTGATTTATAATCTCGATGTACACACAGTTCCTTAGTGTATGACTGATCAACAATTAACGAACCACCTACACTGATTACAGTGAGAGGGGGATGTCACAAGCTCACATGATGTAAATGTAAAATGCTTTTTTGCTTTGCTTTTATTCTGTTTAACTTTTTCTCCTTTTATAGAC